GCCCTGACCAGGAATGGAATCAGTGACCTCTGGGCTCACGGGTCAATACTCAACCACTGAGCCACACCGGTTGGGCTGGTCTCACATTTTTTATCAGCCTTCGACTTTAACAATGTCTTGCCTGAGACACTGTAATATAGAGTCTGTATGATTTGCACTTAGAGATGTCAATTTTTTCTATATCAACTGTAAGGATTTGGTCCCTATTGAATGTACCGATCTCTAATTTCTTATTTATTGTAGTCATTGATATCTATGCCAATACAATGTAATCTTAATATTGTTTAAAAAGACCAGGGAAGCCTGGACAGTGTTGCTCAGTAGTTGAGCATCAGTTTATGAACGAGGAGGTCACGGCTCCGTTCTCTGTCAGGGCACATGCCTGGGTTGTGAGTTCACTCTCCAGGGAGGGGCATGCAGAAGGCAGTCGATCAATGATTCTCTCTCATTATTGATGTTTCTATCTCTCTATCCCTCTCCCTTTCTCTCTGAAATCAATGAAAATATATATATATATTTTTAAAGTCAAGGGAATAAGATAATACAGACTAGCATGAGTCTGCATGGAAAATGTAGTATCTTAAGGTGTATTTATACTCCAAACCACCCCCAGTTTTACATCAAAATATTTGTTACTTATAAGTAGGAATTCAAAAATACTTATTCAGGTAATTTGGTATAAAATTATGGGGCAAGTTTCATTAGGAAAAAGAGAAATACAAGAGCCTTTCCCAATATAGGCTTTATGAAGACCATGAATCTTCCCTTATTTTCTCTCCAATATATTGGGACATAGATCTTCATTTCATTGTTTATTTCTGGAGGTCACCTCCATAAGCACCAGCCTACCATCAAGTGTTGCTTTTCCACTAGCATTGGCATCATTTTCAGACCTGTGCATGGAATCTATGTTTTCAAGAAAATTGTAAGTCTTTTATTTTTTCCGACCTTGTAAGCCTTCATGGTAATGGCCTTCTTTCGTTCTTTCAGGCCTGAAGACCATCGTGGGGGCCCTGATCCAGTCGGTGAAGAAGCTCTCAGACGTCATGATCCTGACGGTGTTCTGTCTGAGCGTGTTTGCACTGATCGGGCTGCAGCTCTTCATGGGCAACCTGCGGAATAAATGTGTACAATGGCCTCCCACCAACTCTTCCCTGGAGGAGCATAGTATAGAGAAGAATATAACTGTGAATTACAATGGCACACTTGTAAATGAAACTGTCATTGAGTTTGACTGGAAATCATATGTTCAAGATTCAAGTAAGAATTACTATTATGTAGATTTATTTTTCATTGTTGATCTGCCTTCCATTTAGGCATAGATATATTTTGTTAAATGGTTGCATCATGGTTTGTAATCTCTTAATCACCATATCAATGTTTTGCACATACATTTAATTACTTTATTCATAACTATTCTAATTTTGGCTCCCAAATGGCATTTTCTGTTGTATCATCGTAAGGGAGGCTGAAGAATTCAGTTAGAAATTTTCCTAGGATCTTTGGTTGCTGTACATTCTCCTTGTGCTGATTGAGACAATTAAATAACATAAGAATTTCTAAAGCCCTTTTGAACTGTAAAGTACTATCCAAATGTAACCCATAAAACGTTAATTACAGAATGCCTTTTATGTACTAGAAACTGTACAGGATGCTGGGAAATTAATGGTGATTACACATGGCTTCAAGGTGCTTATGTTTTAGTAGATTATTTTTATTGTCATTTTATGGAAATCAAGTGAGACCTAAAGGCAAACATTACTCTTATACTATATTTGTAGAATAAGAATTAAAAGTCGTATCACATCAAGTAGAAGGGAATTGGAGTCAATTAAACTTTAAAAAAGAGTAATAAAAGTGTTAAATAAATCAGTGGATTTATGGGAATTCAGTTTATTTTTATTTCAAGAGTTCAGACAAAATAGTTAAATGTTTAAATAGTCTACTTTAAAGGATGGAAAAATAATTGGCCTAATATTCTTTCACTTTTAAAAGTGACAAGAAAGTAAGTCAAATTTTCTCTTTTATTTAATTTTAGTATCTGCCAGTAGCAATATTTCAAAGGCAGAGAGAGTTAGAACATGATTCATGGGTAACAGGAATGTTCTTTTAGAGAAAAATATTAAATATATGAAACTTAAACTTTAGATGTACTTATCTTAAATTTAGTTATATCTTTATTATTTTAAGGTGATGCTTAGGGAAAATTTTTAGTATTTTAAGGTGATATTTAGGGAAAAATCAAAGAAGGGAAGAAACATTAATGACTGTTTTTATAAGAGTTTACTGGTGGTTTGATAATTCTTTTTTTAATATATTTTATTGAATTTTTACAGAGAGGAACTGAGAGGGATAGAGAGTTAGAAACATTGATGAGAGAAACATCGATCAGCTGCCTCCTGCACACTCCTCACTGAGGATGTGCCCGCAACCTCGGTACATGCCCTTGACCGGAATTGAACCTTGGAGGGACCCTTGAGTACACAGGCCTACGCTGTATCCGCTGAGCCAAACCGCTTAGGGCTGGTTTGATAATTCTTAAAGTAATGATAATATAATCTTTAAAAATGAATCATTGTCTTTTTATAGTTGTAGATCTAGAAAATACCTTAGTTACTGATGAACTCTTCCATGATATTAATGATTTGCCAATAAATAATTTGCAAAGGGGGGGGAGGTTGGGGGTTAATGGGGGGGATGAGGACACATTTGTAATACCTTAACTGATAAAAATAATAATAATTTGCAAAGTTTTAAATATCTATATTAAGAAAATACCTTGATTTAAAAAAAAAAGAAAATACCTTGATTAAGAAAAAGACATGTCAGAGCAGTCCATGAAATGTCCCTTATTAACTACATATGTCAATAAGTCCACTGATGTCATCAACTCTCTGAAAAAATTTTTAATGTAATAACAAGGAGCTGACTATGAAGATGTCATTTAGGGTATATTTTCTCTAGTGAAATTTATTGGGTGCCATTTTTCATATATTCAAAGTCAAGGATATCTAAGGCCATTTTCAGCTCTAAAATTTGTTTCCTAATTATATTCTATTTGTGGAAACATTTATTTTAAAGCAAATACAAATATAAACAAAGTAGTTTATCTTTAAAAATATTAGAAAATTAAATTTATTAAAATTAAAGATAAATTTCTTTAGATTAAGCATATAGATCAGTGAATTTCATTGGGAATAAAACTTCATGTAAGTACCTGATATCAAAAATTCATCCAGAAACTACATATTTCTTTTGCTTTGTTTAATTTTAAATAAAAGTTAAAGATTCTATCATAATTGTTCTATGTTCAAAGAAATAAAGATGTTAGAAATGAAAATTAAATTTTGCATTATGTGTTTTGTATCCCTTACAGAACTATGCATAGGATAAATTTCTCTGAAAGTTTAGGATCTAGAAAATATTTCTTCTGAGAAAATCTAAAATTTTTCTTCAAAAAAATTCTTCTCACAAAATGATTATTTAATTTTGTGTTTCTCTCCTTGTTATCCCTTTACTAATTCATTCAGTAAACTTTATTGAAAGACTACTACATTCAAAATACTATAATGTGGATATAATTAACCATTAGGTTTTCTTTCAAGGAGAAACAATATTTGTAAACAACTAATTACACTATAAGACAATGAGTATAATAATAATTGAAATATATACGTGTTATTGGCAGCACGGTGGGAGTTCTCAATTTGCCAATCTTTAATGGGAAGGAATTAGAAAATATCAAAGAATAATTCACAGAAGTGACTCTTCAGCTGAATAGTGAAAGAATCTAAGGAATTTGCCAGAGACAGAAAACTTTGAGATAATGAAGTATTCACCTAGAATAATTATTTAAGCTTTAGTATTTAAGATTATTTTTATTTCATTTGTTTTACATAACTTGACATGACTTATGGATCCTTTACATAAAGACACCTATAAAAAATAAAATAAAAGTTACCTATGATATATTCTGGGAGTTGGTATAATGTAAATTATAATTAATTATTAAACTTTTAAAAATTGTGTTTAAAAATAGAGAAAACCAGAAAAGATACAATACCTCTATTTTGAAATATGTGACTATTTGGAGAAGGCAAAGGAATCCATTTTTTTTAATCTATTTTTACAGAATGCAATTTTTACTTTTTATGAGGGTGGTGGAAAAACACTGATACCTCCTAAAATATTATGTTAATACCTATAGTTACCACAAATTTTACATTTACCAAGAACAAATGCTTTGTCCTAGTAAGTAATCCCCTTAATGTAATATCTAACATTTGTAGAGAGAAGGGGCAAATACCTGTGTCTTTGAATCATATAGTGTATTTTAAATTACTCAATGAACTCAAAAAGTAGGGCCTCATCTTCTTGTTCTCATTTTTCAATGTAATGCAAATGTTCATCACATGACTTTCTTTTTTCTAAATAGGATATCATTATTTTCTGGAAGGTTTTTTAGATGCATTACTATGTGGAAATAGCTCTGATGCAGGGTAAGCCAATAATTTGTGTGTGTTCCTGTGTATGTGCATGTATATATACACACTTATTTTGTCTCTTTTTTGTGGAAACTGACAGATAACAGCCAACTAACTTTATTTATACTAATTTACTATAATTATGGTTACTTATAAGGTGACAACTTATCTAAATATTAGGCAAGTGCTTATGTTTTATAACTTTAGCTCTAATGCTGTTTTAAAAAAATAAGTTTTTATTGATTTCAGAAAGGAAGGAAGAGGGAGAGAGAGATAGAAACATAATGATGAGAGAGAATCATTGATCGGCTGCCTCCTGCATGCCCCACACTGGGGACCAAGCCAGCACCCCGGGCATGTGCCTGACCGGGAATTGAACCATGACCTCCTGGTTCATAGAATCAAACTGTGACCTCCTGGTTCATAGGTCGATGCTCAACCAGTGAGCCACACCAGCCAGGCTCTAATGTTTTTTTTCTTAGATGAGCATATATGAGCCAAGAGTCAACTCTGGAGGTTTCCATAGTAGGGACAATGAAAAAGAGATAAAATGCTAATTATTGACAGAAAACAATTTTGTAAAATATCATTAGAAATTCTATGAAATATGTGAATGAAGACATCAAGTGGCTAGTAAAATTATGTTGTCAAAAATTGAGAAAAGTATTAGTTACTTATTTATCATACTTCTATTCCTTGAAATAGACAATGTTATAACATGCTGCAAGAATAAAAAAAACAAACAAACACAGAATTTCTTGTAAAACTTTCTTTTTCCACATTACAGCCAATGTCCAGAAGGATACATATGTATGAAAGCTGGTAGAAATCCCAACTATGGCTATACAAGCTTTGATACTTTCAGTTGGGCTTTTTTGTCCTTGTTTCGACTGATGACTCAGGACTTCTGGGAAAACCTTTACCAATTGGTGAGAACCTGAAGCACCACATATTGCATTTTTAAGTAGAAGTATATAAGAAAACCAAGTTAATTATGAAATTCAAACCACAGCATAATATAATAGAAAGGGCACAACTTGAAATCGGGAGATTTGAGTTCCTTTACCCTATTGATTATAACATTTATTAAGCATAGTGATGCTGGGGACAGTGATTCTCTCTAATTTCCCTTGAGCTCAAAACCTACTAACCACCCTTCCGAGACACATCTTCCCTAACAGAAGGCACACCCTTCCCTGGGCTCCAACTACACCCTCAGGTCTTATCTACATCCCTCAGGTGGCAGGGGATGAAAATTAATAAGCAGATGTAGAAAAATGATTTTGGTTTCTTCCTGGACTTTCATTTAAGACTCAGCTCCTTGATGAAGGTCTCCGTGGTATTTTACTCAATTCTGTTTTATTCTTAGTAATTCTAAGAATTCCCTCCTAGAGTTCAAAATGTGAATGCATGAGTTAGGGAAGAAGAGGATAAGGTTAAAAAACAAAAAAACAAAACAAAGAAGTGGGAGGGGGTGTGACCATCATTATGGTTGTTCATGTCAGAATCCTTCAAAATACACAAGTAAGTTGAAAGTCGGGGCCACCAGTTAATGAAATAATATTGAACACTAATGCTGATGTTGTTGTTTCCAGACATTACGTGCTGCTGGGAAAACATACATGATCTTTTTTGTGCTGGTCATCTTCTTGGGCTCCTTCTACCTGATCAATCTGATCCTGGCTGTGGTGGCCATGGCCTATGAGGAGCAGAATCAGGCGACCATGGAAGAGGCGGAGCAGAAAGAGGCTGAGTTTCAGCAGATGCTCGAACAGCTTAAAAAGCAGCAGGAGGCAGCTCAGGTAAATTCATCCAATGAAACATGTCCTGTCTCATGGTCTGATACTTTTTATTGTTATGGTTGTTACAAAAATACTGGAAAAAAAGTGAGAGACAGATAATTTGATTGTATTTAAGAGAAGCTGGTAGTAGAGGAGATTGGTAAAGATTTCTACATTTCGAGCATCTATATAGATTCTTTAGACATTCTACATTGTTTAAAATATTAACCACAATAGAACACTCTCGTGCTATTTTAATCAGCTGAATATCTTTAGAATAAAAGGGAAATATGATTTTTGGGGTCCTCTCAAGTGAGAGACACTTACTGAATGAGGATACTGGCATTAGAAAAAATCCTAAGAAATCATCTTTTCTTAGAAAAAACTGTATTGGTTTTTTAAAAAATTTATTGGAAATTAAAAGTGTTCACCTTTGGTCCCATGCCCACATGGCCAGCAAGAATGAGTGCTGAGCTGAAGAAGCTAGGGACTGTATTGGGGAATTGAATGTCTTGTCTTGCTTGGCAGAAACTATTGACCCTCCCCTGTCTAGTCTTCTGATAGAGCATTATGCAGGGCCGAGGAAGGGGTTTTACTACCTTCCATGGATTTTATTGATAATATTTTGAGGATATTGGACAACCCAGTTTCAATACCAGGACCTCAGCTCTTATCGCATTTCTCCTGCCTTTGGATATGACCTCAACTAACTCATCAGCTTTTCTCACAAGTGCCAGTTTCTTTCTCAGAGAAAAGAAGACAGTGCTAAGTAAATATCAATTTCTAGAGTACATGAAATCCCCAAAAGTACAATGAATATCTGTTCTTGCGGATGCCTGATTGATCCTTTTGAATATGTGGTCTGTGAAGCATAATACAAACACAATAAATGTTAGCACAGAGAACACCAAGTTAACTTTGCAAGTGTTCATTAGGTGGAAAGAAAAATAATTCCCTCTAATAACTGCAGAGCTGCTTCTATGTAAGATCAGCTTGAGTCAGCTAACTGTATTTTTTCAATGTCATGCAAATAGTTTGGCCATTTTTTAAAATGATAAAGTCTTCTCTAGTGCCGTGCTAAAACCATTTCTCCTCAATGTAGCAGGCAGCCACTGTAACCGCCTCAGAGCATTCCAGAGAACCCAGTGCAGCAGGCCGGCTCTCAGACAGCTCATCTGAAGCCTCCAAGTTGAGTTCCAAGAGTGCTAAGGAGAGAAGAAACCGGAGAAAGAAAAGAAAACAGAAAGAGCAGTCCGGTGGGGAAGAGAAAGATGAGGATGAATTCCAAAAATCTGAATCTGAAGACAGCATCAGGAGGAAAGGGTTTCGCTTCTCCATCGAAGGGAATCGCTTGACCTATGAAAAGAGGTACTCCTCCCCACACCAGGTATGGCACCACTGAGTTAAAGGATGCCCGGATGAAAATGAGAATGCTGAAAGAGGGGGAGAATTAAATCAGACTTACGAATCCTCATCAACTGAATTGACTGCTATGTTTATTATATTTAAACCCATGCTTTCTTCACATAGTTATGAGAAAATTGTACTCCATATATATGTAAATCTTATAGCCTGGTGTAGTTGAGATAACACTAAGTTGAAAATAAGAGCCCTGGATTCTCATCCTGATACTGTCTGCTGCTACTTGTAACTAATGGCATTTAATATTTCTGATCATCAACTTTTTAAAATTAAATTTACTGGGGTGACATTGGTTAATGAAGTTATATAGGTTTCAGTGTACAATTCTGTAATACATCATCAGTAAACTGTATTGTGTGTTCGCCACCCCAAGTCAAGTCTCCTTCCATTACCATTTACCCCCCCCCCTTTCCTCAGCTTTTTGTTGTCGTTGTTAATGCTACCTCATATTTTTCCCATTGAGTTCTAGAGAGAGTGGAAGGGAGGGATGGGGTGGAGAGAAAGAGAAACATATGTAAAAGAGACACATCAATTGGTTGCCTGATGCACGTACCCAGACCTGGGCTGGGGATCAAACCTACAACTCAGGTACATGCCCTTGATCAGGAATCAAACCCATAATCCATTAATGTTAGGGCCAATACTCCAACCACTTAGCAACACCAGCCAGGGCTCCTCAGCTTTTTTTAATTTAAAAAAAAGGGGGGATTTTGGACGAGCTAATCAGTGTCTTTTTGGTCCCCCCCGCCCTCCTAATTTTTTTATAAAATATTATGTGCGCTTCTGAAAATATGAGTCATGATATACTTTATCAAAAAGTTCATCAGTCTGATTTCAGAAATTTTAACTTCGAGTCCCAAGATACTGAGCCTTATAGATGAAGCAGACATTATGATTAATTTAAAGTGATTTTAGAACGATGTACTAAAGCAATTTGTGAAAAGTGATGAAATATTTTGGAGGGAAAGAGCAATGAAAACAAATGTAGCCTTCTTATGGTCCTGCTACTGATATTTACCGATTGTTTACAATGTCCATAGTAATATTCCAATGATGTTTCCTTTTGCATTTGAAAAATGGTAGCTCTGGGTTCTGCTTTTCAATATCTTTACGTTGCAATCTGTCTCCCCATTCATTAATCTCCAGGACTCGAAACCTTCTCTTATAAAACGAATTTAACTTAATCTGAAAATGCACATAAAATGAACATGTTGTTAATCAAAAGGAATGAATCATGTTCTGTCATGAATGCTAAAATCTCCTTCAACTTAATCTTGCAAATTAAAAACACATTTCAAATGGCTATATTAATGATTTTACTTCTTCTTTTTTTATTTGGTGTCCCACTTCAGTCTTTGTTGAGCATCCGGGGCTCCATATTTTCTCCAAGGCGCAATAGCAGAACGAGCCTTTTCAGCTTTAGAGGGCGAGCGAAGGATGTGGGCTCAGAGAATGACTTTGCCGACGATGAGCACAGCACCTTTGAGGACAATGAGAGCCGGAGGGACTCCTTGTTTGTGCCGCGACGACATGGAGAGCGACGCAACAGTAACCTCAGTCAGACCAGCCGGTCGTCCCGGGTGCTGGCAGTGTTTCCCGCGAGTGGGAAGATGCACAGCACTGTGGATTGCAATGGTGTGGTTTCCTTGGTTGGTGGACCCTCGGTTCCTACATCGCCTGTTGGACAGCTTCTGCCAGAGGTGATAATAGATAAGCCAGCTACTGATGACAATGTAAGGAAGTTTTAAACAGTTCAGGCATGGCTGGCCCATTGCTGCTGCACCAGCCAGTGTTTCTACAGAATGGAACCCCTTGAGAATGATTCCTGGTTGGTCAAGCTGTGAATGCACCTGCATCTTGTAATACCTGTATAGACTAACCAACTAAAACTTAAAAGCCTCAACACTCTCTTGCATAACACCTGAATGCATTTACCTATTAAACGCGCTAAGGATCAATTAGACACAATCATAAGTTACTGTCTCCAGTTGGAGGATTTGCTATATACCCATCTGAACTTAGATAGTAGGGCATCTTCTAGAGCCCGGTAAAAAGTGAATGAATGATGTCTATGTTTAAGTGTAAAGGGTGTATAATAAATCTTTCCAACAGAGTCTTCAGTATAGCCCTGCTTTAGTTTAGAAGATTTTTAAGAACACTGTGCCTAAATACATAGCTTCATTGTTCTCTTAAAATTTTCTAGTACTCATATTTGTCTTACTAAAAAAAAAAAAATGCTGATATAGGCTTTCTCAAAACTAATCTCAGTGAAAAGAAACAAATAGATGATTAATACAGACAGGTAAAACAATTGTCTGTGTTCAAAGGTATGTTATTTGTTTGTGATGCACACCCTGCTGATGAGGAATTTCTAAACACATGCTGCCTCATTAGACTATTAACTCACTTAGAAATATATCAGCATGATGAGGCATGACTAAGTATCAGATGACTTATTGCTTTAGTACCCTGGATGAAACTGTTGTCCATGCAGCATGTGTGTGTGTGTGTTCTTAAACATACATTTTGTGTTGTCAGTGACCATCTATGTCTTGTGCCCAGAAACTGAGATGGCAATTACATGTGTTATGATCATTTCTATTTCTTTAAAAATAAGCAGCTTCCTTTCTCAAAAGAAAATGCCCTGATCATTTATATGAATTTTTCAAGTTGTTAGTTTTTCGCTATTAGTTCTAAAATAAAGGTAACTGTTAAATATGTCTCTCAAGAGATTTATCAACTCTATCTAAATGACATCATGTCTCATAAAATTATGAAATCAAAAGGTTAAAAAAATTCAGTTTTTGCTGTATGGCTAAACAGTTGACAGTTTGGACACTCCAGGTTAATTACACAATAAGTCAGCAATACCTGCCATCACCAATTAAATATGAAAGTGCATGATGCATGTGTTTCATGCAATTCACTGTGTCACGTTAGCTGTTTACTCGTCATAGCGTTCAAGTTAATTATTTAATACATTAGCATTTTCTTTACAGGGAACAACGACTGAAACTGAAGTGAGAAAAAGACGGTCAAGTTCTTTCCATGTGTCCCTGGATTTTCTAGAAGACCCTTCCCAAAGGCAAAGAGCGATGAGTATAGCCAGCATTTTAACAAATACAGTAGAAGGTTTGTAACAAGTTCCATTCAATTCAATTTATTAAACTTGTAGTCTCTTTTAAACAAATCTCTCTATTTGTGCATTGGAAACAGTATATTCTGTGGAGAGTATAGTAGGTCTTATTCAAGAGTTATTGTTTGTTATACCTACTTAGAAGTCCTAGGAACTTTAAAAAAATTCTTTAAACTCAGTGATATTGGACCTCTAACAAATGTTTTCCTGTGTGTGGAAAATCCTTGAAAATGCAGAATAAGCATTTCTTTTTAAAAAAGAGTTAATATAAGTTTAGTATTGTTTATTTTTAATCTTTACTGTTGAAAATATTACATAGGTCCACCTTTTTCCCCCATTAACCTCTTCCAGCGCACTCCCATCCTCCCTGCCGAGGCCCCCACTGCCCCATTATCTATGTCCAAGGGTTATGCATATATGCATACAAGTTCTTGGTTGGTCTCTTCCCACCTGCCTTCTCTCTGTGGTTCAACAGTCGGTTCATGCTTCTATGACTCTGGGTCTATTTTTGATTAACAGTATTTGGTTCATTAGATTCCACAGATAAGTGAGATCATGTGAATAAGCATTTCTATTAGGGGTTTCTAATCCCATTAGTCATAGTGATTCTCTCTTCTGTTCTACTTAGTTTAAGACTTCCAACATCAACCTAAATACTCTCAAGATTGCAAGAGAGAAGTAGGTCATTTTTGTAAAATAAAAACAAATTTAAAAAAATGATTCTTGGCTCATGTTGATCCCTACCCTATCTCTTACAGCCAGAGGATAATAGGTTAGCCAGATATTAACACAGAATGACACTTCCCCAATCCATGTTTCTATTGAGACTTCATTTAAAAGATGATTCAGCCCTAACTGGTTTGGCTCAGTGGATAGAGCGTTGGCCTGCGGACTGAAGGGTCCCAGGTTCGATTCTGCTCAAGGGCATGTACCTTGGTTGTGGGCACATCCCTAGCAGGGGATGTGCAGGAGGCAGCTGATCGATGTTTGTCTCTCATCGATGTTTCTAACTCTCTATCCCTCTCCCTTACTCTGTAAAAAAATCAATAAAATGTATTTTTTTTAAAAAAATAAAAATAAAATACAAGATGATTCATTTAAGTTAAAGTCTGAGCCACTTTATCAATACATACAAGGAAAAAAAACTATTCTTTGCTACTTCTGTTTTATGTGTATCTTTAATGAAATATGTTCAGGAGTCTAAAGAATAAATACTTTAGATTTTTGTTTCGTTTTGTTTTGTTAAGTACAAAAGGGGTTGACTCTGTAGCAATGGGAAACCTGTCGATTACTGAAAAGAAGTCTAGTGGATCTGAAATAAATGTATGTATAAAATAAATCTTTTGGTGGTGGTTCTTATTTTTTTTCAATCTAGAACTTGAAGAATCCAGGCAGAAATGCCCGCCCTGTTGGTACAAATTTGCCAACATATTCTTAATCTGGGACTGTTCACCATATTGGTTAAAAGTGAAACATATTGTCAACCTGGTTGTAATGGACCCATTTGTTGACCTGACCATCACCATCTGCATTGTCTTAAATACTCTTTTCATGGCCATGGAGCACTACCCCATGACAGCTCATTTCAATCATGTGCTTACAGTAGGAAACTTGGTAAGCATATTAGAAGGTAAATGTGTTCAGTCTTTGATTTTTTGTTTTGTTCGAGAAACTGTTTACATTTAATAGCTTTTAGCAGTCTTTCCACCAAACTTCCTACTCCTGGCTCCCAAAAGATAGGAATTATATCTAGCTGATTTCACTGTACATTTTGCCAACAATAATCGTCCTTGATATCAGAGCAAAAAAACTAAGAAAGTAATAGGCATAGGACTTTTTGAAAAGTCAATATTAATAGTTATAATGTTTTTAAGATGCAGAAGCAGTTTAAGGACACACTTTTTGAAATAATATTATCACAGTTTCCCTACTGGTAGAAGATTAAAATAAAATAGTAGATTTTTCTATCTTGCTTAGTCATCATCATTATAAGCAAGAACTTAACCAGTCAAAACGTCTCCAGCTTTTCCACTTCCAGAATCTAGGTAGGACATATATTGTTTCATCCATCTATTCTATAATAAAACTATAAAATATTGAAATTGCCCAGTACATTTTGTGTATTATATGATTAACAAGGCCATTTTGGTTGCAGGTTGCCACTTGATTCTTTCTCTTCTGTGCTTAAAAAAAATAAATTATTGAAGTGTTTGTCAGTTGACTCAAGTTAGGAATATTAGCTTTTATTTGCTGAAAGAGAGCTCTACAGTAATGCATGCATTTGCCATATTTGTTTTGAGATTTAGGATTTTTGATGGTAAAGGCAGAACATGTAAAATGTACTGCATTGTAGTATTTACATTTTCAAAGCACTAGGGTTTATACTATGGAAGTAAATTTATTCTTTTGTGTGCTTAACAAATTGATGATAGTAATATTATATCATTATAATGATATAATATTACTATTATATTATTATAATACATATACATGTTTAATAACTATCTGATTTGAGGGAAATGAGAATAAACCTCTTGATAAAAAAAATTGTTCCTGGGCAAAATCTTGTCAGTACCTGTGCTGTTTGAAAAGGCAGTTTGATTTAATGCATAGAACGTTGGTTAAAAATAGATTTGCACTCAAATCCTAGTTTTCCCATTTTCCAATTGTATGATACCAGGCAAGTCATGGAACCCATCTAAAGTTCTCTTTCCTCAACAGTAAGGTAATTATAATACCTGCCTTAGCCACTTAGTAAACTTCTGTGAGGCTCGGCCAGCATGGCTCAGTGGTTAAGCATCGACCCATGAATCAGGAGGTCACGGTTCGATTCCCGGTCAGGGCACATGTCCAGGTTGTGAGCTTGGTCCCCCGTGTAGGGCCAGCAGGAGGCAGCTGATCAATGATTCTCATCATCATTGATGTTTCTATCTCTTTCTCTCCCTCTCCCTTCATCTCTAAAATCAATAAAAACATATTTTTTTAAAATTCCGTGAGAATAGAATGAAATGATGTCTATGAGAGCCTTTTATCAATTATAATTGTGTAAGCTAGCAATAGAGTCATTATGGGGAAAGTAGCATAAGCATTTTGTTCTAAGAGCAAATATTGTGTCATTCTACGTTATCATTATTTGATGGAATTACAGTAATTTTGTTTTGATCTTAGGTTTTCACTGGGATCTTTACAGCAGAAATGTTTCTGAAAATTATTGCCATGGATCCTTACTATTATTTCCAAGAAGGCTGGAATATCTTTGATGGTTTTATTGTGACACTTAGCCTGGTAGAACTTGGCCTCGCCAATGTGGAAGGATTATCAGTTCTCCGTTCATTTCGATTGGTAAAAACAAACAAACAAAAACACCAACAGCAAAATCTTTCCAATAACCAGGGTTTTTGCATAACACTATTATAGATTTGAACACACAACCACTAACATTTTCAGTTTTTGTGTGACGTTTGCATTGTCAGAAACTGTTCCTAAATGGATAAAATTTCCCCACTTATTTCAAAAAATGTTTATTGCAAAAAACATAGTCCTGTAAAGCTTAATATATTTCTCAGTTACCATTCTGACTAATTATTGTTTCTAGAGATAACTACAGTCAATATTTCTGGATCGAAAAAATATTTATAATGAAAATGTATCCCATTTTAGTAGTAACTTAAAATAGAAACAACCGTTTGTAACAATGGATGATCAGATACAAGATGTGCGGGCAGAAACTTTTCCTAATTCTACCTCTGGAAAACAAGCTTCTTCACAATCACAGGAAAGAAAGCCCTAGGGTTACTTAAGATGCCCATTGATTCACATATATGTTCTTACACATCAGAAAAAAGAATTATAATCATGGGAAATATTCCAAACTTTAAAATGCAGGCACATCTAGCTATGCCAGTGCCTCAAAGGAGCATTAATAAATAATAAATACTTTTCTACACTTATAGTAGAACTCAATATGCTGTTACTTTGCATGCTGTTAACAAATAAATATCAGCAGAAATCATTACAATTCTGATGTTAATACTAGTGTCAGGCCTAGTATGGCTTATAACCACCTTCACTAAACAAATTAAGCACATTTGGACCCCACATCGGCATTAAACATCTACTCTTAGGGAAAATGAGCTACATGGTTAAAATATGTAAGAACCAGATTCTTGTTAGGGCGTCCAAAATTACCCATGAGCCTGAGAGGGTGCAAAGGCAGGGCAGATGTTATAACAGATTCAAAATTAATTATCATTTCTTGGTAAACCATAATATATATATAACCTCTTTAAAGGTCATGATAATTTTTTATTTTTTTATTTTCCAGCTTCGAGTTTTCAAGTTGGCAAAATCTTGGCCAACGTTAAACATGCTAATAAAGATCATCGGCAACTCAGTGGGGGCCCTGGGTAACCTCACCTTGGTGTTGGCCATCATCGTCTTCATTTTTGCTGTGGTCGGCATGCAGCTCTTTGGCAAAAGCTACAAAGATTGTGTCTGCAAGATTGCCAGCGACTGTAAGCTCCCACGCTGGCACATGAATGACTTCTTCCACTCCTTCCTGATTGTGTTCCGCGTGCTGTGTGGAGAGTGGATAGAGACCATGTGGGACTGCATGGAGGTCGCTGGTCAAGCCATGTGCCTTACTGTTTACATGATGGTCATGGTCATTGGAAACCTGGTGGTATGCACTTATTTGAGATATGTATTTCAGAAGTAGATTAAGAGCACGATAGAATGATGACATTTTATCCAAAACAAAAACTATGATTAATAATTTTGAAAGTCTCTTACCTTGTATATGCATATAGTCTCATTTTGACAACACATCAATATAGCAGGGACTCTATAGTAATACTCAACACCACTTTGTCAATCATGTCATCACATTTATTATGTGAATTCCTATACAGTATCATATTGAAGACAGGCCTAATAGGATATGTTGAGAACATTCAGAGACAAGGGAAGGAAAAGTCTGGAAACAATTTAGAGAAAACCCAATCTTACTTGCTAGTTTAAGGCTAAAAAGTGAAGCCTTTAAGTGTTCATACTGATTTTACCATTTTCTTGTCCCTTCATGGACACAGTAACAGTCACTCTCTGGGATAGCCAATTCTCTAGTGGCTCTCAGTCAAAACAAAGGTTGGCTAATAAGTCCTGAGGTTACCTGAATCGAGTAACTGATCAACTCTTCTCTCTCTTTAAACTTGGAATATTAATTACTTTTTATAGTATAGAAATAGATAATATATTCCAAAGGATATATACATTAGTGTGTCAGTCTTATGGAAATATTAGGAATAAATAGTTCTCCTAATTAATAAATAGTTCTCCTAATTAGTCAGTTACTGAGGTATGAAAAATATAATAGATTAAGAAAACAAGTGTCAATGCCTATGTTAAACCCCTAATTCTCATTCTGGGTCATAATGGTCATATTTCAATTAATGTCCTATGCAGTATCACTCTTTATCAATAAGAAACTATAGAATGTATTTAAATTCATAATTGCAAGCATTAGTGATTTTTAAGTTCAGAGCTCTTTTATAAGTACATACATCAATCTGTTTTCTTATAATCAAACAGTTTTAAACTTAGCTAAACCTTCGGGCATCTCATACAACTTCTCATTCTATACGTGAGAGAACTTGAGGCCAACAGAAATCATCTTTGCTAAA